ACGCCTTGTTGGCCCCTTGAAAAAGTGGTCTTTTAAAAAACCACGCCTTATTGGTCGATTGGAAAAAAATATTCTTTAAGAAATCCACGCCTTATTGGCCCCTTGAAAAAGTGGTCTTTTAAAAAACCACGCCTTGTTGGTCGATTGGAAAAAATATTCTTTAAGAAATCCACGCCTTGCTGGTCGATTGGAAAAAATATTCTTTAAGAAATCCACGCCTTGTTGGTCGATTGGAAAAAATATTCTTTAAGAAATCCACGCCTTATTGGTCGATTGAAAAAAATATTCTTTAAGAAATCCACGCCTTGTTGGTCGATTGAAAAAAATATTCTTTAAGAAATCCACGCCTTGTTGGTCGATTGAAAAAAATATTCTTTAAGAAATCCACGCCTTGTTGGTCGATTGAAAAAAATATTCTTTAAGAAATCCACGCCGTGTTGGTCGATTGAAAAAAATATTCTTTAAGAAATCCACGCCGTATTGGTCGATTGAAAAAAATATTCTTTAAGAAATCCACGCCTTGTTGGTCGATTGAAAAAAATATTCTTTAAGAAATCCACGCCTTGTTGGCCCCTTGAAAAAATGTTCTTTAAAAAATCCACACCCTTTAGGCAAATTTTATCATTGGCAAAATATAAAACGAGGAACATTTTTTCCACTTTTCTTCCGCTCAAAATAAAATATTTTCGCCAAATCCAAAAATGTATTTTTAAACCTATAAATTGCTATTGCATACAGATTCGCATATAAATTTTATTCCTTTTGACATGATATTACCTAACGGAAGTGTTCAGCTATTTTTATTGCCTAGAGGGTAGGGTATCTGATATTTTGATTATTCAAAACAGTGAACCAGCATTGATTTACTTATGACCGATGTCATTATCTCGGGTACATTGTATATTTTTAACGAAACGGACTGTCGGATTATCCATTGGCCACCATTTCGTTGGCTTTGGTGTTTTATTTAAATTCAATTACTGCCTTTATTGAATTTCAATACTGATTACATCGCTTGCCAAGTATGGTCTGTATAAGTGACACCTTATTTGGCTCTATTTTATAATACTTTTCGTTTCGATAAAAACGAAGATGACATCAAAAGCTCACGCAGCAGACAAATAAAACTTTCACTCAGTGTCTTAGATTTTTACCGTCTTTTGGCAAATTTGTGTAAACAAGTGGTGGATGGGTTTCCAAAAAATGTGAAAGAAAATTGAGAAATATTTCGAAGAAAGATTTATTATTGTCTGCAATTGCTTCCGGTATTGTTTTCCATCCAAATGATATGATTTATGCCAAGAGTAATGAGGAAATGGAATTTGAATTTAAAATTATATCTGGATATTTACGCGAAGGCGTGCCAGAGACTTATTAAAAATATTCTATATACATATATAATTAAGTATACTAAAATTAATAATAAGTATTGTTTTGACATATTTCTGCAAGGTGTTTAATTAAATAAAAAAATAAGTTGTTGTCAATGATCTTAAATTGGTATTTCCCCGTTTCTAAAGATCCACTGAATTTCAACAAATATTAGTGACATTTGACTAGAATATTTTATTCTTTAGCACTATGCACGAAATATGAAGTTTCATGTTGCTTTCATTTTATATATAGCGATTTATCTTCTTCCGTGACATATATTAAAATCTGAAATATTACGCGGCCCTAAACTGAAATTTGACATTTATATAGGGGCTATCATAACATGGAAATATATTGAATATAATACCTTTTCGCAGTCGTTGATTTCATTCAGTTTCTCCTTTTGTATTTCAAAAATCACCCATATATCATAGTACAATCCTGCCTGACATTTCTACATCTATATGGGCTGCACAATTCAGTAAATATTCCTTCGAACTTGACCTGACTTTTGGATAGATAGATAACTATAAACGGCAACTAAAATTGTATAATATAAAAAGGGTATTATATGCGAGTACTTCGAAAGATAGACCAATATTGACAGTTTTTGGCAGGGAGCAGCGACGTAGACAGAGAGAGGCCGGGGGCCCGGTCACCACCGAAATTATATTTTTTTCAGAGTAAATTTATGTTTGCAACAACGAATTTATTCATTTTGCACTAGAGCCAACCAAACCCTTCCAAATGAAATCCTGTATACATTACTGGTAGGGAGAAAACCCAATCGGTGGTACTGCTAAGTGAAATTTATACCTAAAAGTTTACCGATATTGACAATTTTTTCAGAAGATTAGACACCCAAAATGAAACGACATCTGTAGTATATAACAGGTGGTCTATGGGAGTCATATTACATGACAGCTTCGAATTTAGGATTAATTGATGTGGGTGATTTTCGGACTATTTGATGTACTAAAAATTCGAATATATTCAAATTAGTTGCAAATGTAATTAAAATTAAATACTCGTGTCAACTTCTAGTTTTAAATTGGCATAGTCTGGCTGTGCGCAAAACAATTCATGTATATTGTGCACATCATAATAATTCTTCCAAATTTCAAATTCGAAGATAGGGAATATCAGTCCTCTCCTTTTAGTAACTCCCCACAAATTGGTCAACATCCAGCCTGCATAATGTTTAAAGATAAGGGTCCTTCTAGTAACTCCCTCAATAATGCAAATATACAATTTCGTCGAAACTTTGCACATCGAAGAATTTGTACCAAGTCTAGATAATGAATTAACAAATTTGCTTCATATTGGTCCTTCTTGTACCATCGCCACAACGTGTCAAAATTTTAAAAAATCCGATTGGAACCAAACTTTGCGCAACTTAATACGTTAACCAACCCTAGATAATATTGGGAGAGGGTACCATTTTTCGAGTACTTCCCTTCGGTAAAAATGATTATATTCAATTAATTTCAAGAAAATGATTATATTCATATTCTCAAGAAACATGGATCTATCACATTTCCGTTTGTCTGTTACAAAAATATGCACAAATACATGATATCCTGTACCACAGTGTGATGAATGGTATAAAAATAATTATATGGCCACTGCTGCCAAAATGGGGTGAATATTAATCATTTTTGGTGTAGAGATTTGTTACAAATAAGAGTCCAAATGCCTAAATTATAGCGAATTCGGTTAAAAACGCGCTCCCGTTATATGAGGCTAATACCTAAATGTGGACCGTATCAATCATTTTTGGTTGGAATATTTGGTTCCTAATAAAAACATAAAATACCAAATTTCTGGTAATTCCGTTTTCTCCAACTACCCCAAAATATCGAAAATTGGAGGTACCGTTATATGGGGGATATCATACAAAGTGAACCGACATTGATAATTTTGGTAGGGAGATTTGTATTTTGGGTACATTTTTAACAGAATTGGTTGTAATTTGGTACTTTGAGTTCCCATTGAGTAGTAAATCTCCTTAACACGTTGGAGGTCTTCTTAAAGAAGAGCTGGGCGTCTTCTTATAGATGTACTGGAGGTCTTTTCTTAGAAACTCTGCTTGTACTCATATGGTGCCTCCAGTGCATATTTCCAACTTATATAAGGGTACTCCGTATAAGGTACTCCGCATCCGTTATTTTGGGTATTACCCGAATAGGCTCTTCTTATTTTAACTATTTAAGAATTCGTGTTTGCATAGCTTTATACGAGGGCATTTCAGAAAGTTCTTAGTCTAGCACAAACAGCGCGGTATAAACAGAAACAAGTTAAGTGTTTTAGAGAATCGATTTATAAATATCAGTACGTATGTATTATATATTCTAAATAGGGAATATCCCATGATGGATATTCAGTCCAATCCTTCTTAAACCTCCCAATAAATTGGTAAACATTTTGCTGAAAATTAATTTCATTCAAGCCAGAACAATGTTTGAATATTTTTATATATAAGCTTTGGAGCTTACCATATATATCGAACTTTTAGTAACATATTATCTCCAAAGTGTCATGGCTGTACATCGTAAAATGTTTACCACGCCCACATTATATCCGAAGTTGGGGTGTAGGGCGCAACTTGTCCTGGTACCACCCCTTTGATTAGTTGTCTACATTCTATAAAAGAAATTGAATCGGTTGTAATTGTAAGACATCTTCTAACCAAAATAGCATACAAAAGTCAGGATATGTGTATACCCCATGTTCATAGGTTGAGTGTATCGAATAATTTATGAGTGTGAACTTATAATTGCTTATTGCAAAATGAAAATATGTTGTCATATTATTTAATAATGATCAAAATATCTACAAAGCTCTCTTCCATGGCATATTTGCGAGTAAATTTAAATCCCTTGGAAAATATGACTAACAAATTCAAAAACTTAACTATCATTCAGGTGTAGATTTATGTATCATTTATGTGTTTACGTGTTGGTCATATATGGGGTATATTAGAAGTAAAAACGAAAAAATAAAAAGTAATATTAATATTAATTCCAAGAGACACATAAGGTGTACCGACATGATCAAAACTCTAATATCGTAATATTTTCACGAAATCTGAGGAAAGTTTGAATTTTGTAACTTTCATAAAGACAACAACACCCCTATCGAATAAACTATTTGATATTCGTAATACAATTAATTTGTCTCTAAGTCGTATCTAAAACTAGACTCTTAAAAATAACTACTTATTTTCTTTGCAGATCTCCATTATTGTTAAATTTTCTGTAGTAAAACTATTTCTTTCAATATTTTTTTTAATTGCTTTTCTTTTTTTCTTTGCGATTCATTTTATGAATGTATAAAAAAATAAATAAATAAATATTTACAAAAATAAATAATGCATGTCACTTTGTACAACTGCTCTACAATATCGAACACGAACTTGTCGTGTCTAAACAAAAAAAGACAAATCTTTGGAAATTTGCATAATTTCAATACTTAAAAACTAAATGAAAATAAATAATTAAGACTTTTTCTTTTTTCAAATCAATGAAATGTGAGGCTTCGTCTGGTCGTTGTCATTATCTTAGGTGGTGGTGGTGTTCATGTGGTCGTAACGTTAGCTAGGTTTCACTTCCGATCAGTTCGTTTAGAACTTAACGTCTCTTTTGTCCAGCAAAAGCCATATCTTGAGCATCACCATGACTTTCCTGAGAGGAACGGGCCCAAGCATGTGGATCCCAGGCGGGAGCAGCATGTTCGATATGCTCAACATGTTCAACATGATGGGGCAATTCCAAGTGATGTTCAATGGAATGATGATCCAAGTGATGATCTAAATGATGGTCCAAATGGTGGGGCACAATGTGTTCTACATGGTGGGGAACAATGTGTTCAACATGTTCATAGTGATGGGGGACATGTTCGATGTGTTCGTGATGGTGGGGATAGTGGACAACTTCGTAGTTGACAATCTTAAAAATGGAAAAAATATTTTTTATAAATCTTTCTGAAGAGAAAAAAATGATCTCTTAGACATACCTTGGGTTTGGCAATTTTGAAAACAACCAAAGCACCGGACAAGACCAATGACAACAGACCCAAAGTCATGGCTTTCCAGGTTTTCAAGGCAATCAGGGCAAGAGCAATTGGCACCAAAACGGTGGTCTTCAATTTAAGACCCAACAAGAAGGGGAGGACAGCCTTCTTGATCATACCACGACCTAAGAAAAACAAAGAGAAAGAAAATCCAAATTAGCAAATAATACAAAAGGAAATTTTTAAACTTTCACTTACCCTCAGCATCACGATCAGCCAATGGCACAACAGCACCCTTGGTCAAGACATTGTTCATCAAAAAGTCGGGAACATAGGAGCGAGCCTCAGCACTTTGGAAGAATTCGGGAGCCTTGATGCGCAACGAATGTGTAGCCAAGAAATTGTCGATTTCTTGGAACATTCTTTCTTGGGCGTCCATGGCACGTTGTTGGTTGTTGCCAACAATTCTGCCAGTACGAACAACCGACAACTTATCGGTGATCATAATTTCATCTTTATTCATGGCCTCGTTGAACCATTGCATTGCTTTGGGTTTGACACAGCTGGTACTGAAATCCTTCAAGCATGATCGGTACATATCGAAAGCCAAATCGGTGGCCGACTGAGGCATTTGATTGGCTTGAGCCAAAGCACCCGAAGCCGTTACGGCTACGGCCAAAAGCACAACAACAAATTTGTTCATCCTGCTGCAACAATCCTTCTTCCCGTGTCTCTTGTGCGAGTGTGATTAATTCAATTTGAAAATCCGCTTCAGTTACGGTACAATTACCCTACGGCTGACCAACTGAATATGTAAATGTCAATTGTGGCTACAGTGCTTTTTATACGACCATTCTTTTGTTGTAGTTGGTAGATTAACAAATGAAATTAACACCAGTTAAGAGCTGTTCGATTTTGCTCAATTCCCATCCCAAAAAAGATACCCCTCTACTCACTCAGCTATGTTTCTGGCTCCCCCCATGTAAGCCATGCCGCTTGCTACTCTTTGCCTTGCTATCAAAATACTTTTCTTTTCTATCAGTTATGGCCTGGCCAAATGGTTTTCTTGGCTCTGTGGCATTTGATTGGTCAGTTAGCAGGCCACAAAACCCACACCCAAACTTTGACTCTCATTCTCTTCAGTTCTCTGGCATTGGCCAGTATTCTCTTTGTGCTCTTTGACCATAATAGTTTGTTAGTTGTACCGTTATACAATATTTTGTCCACAATTTCACTTAATCGTGTTTAGCCTAAGAATTACTTCATTTCCTCATTGATAGTTTGGGCCAATGGCGGTGAATGGTGTGTGTGTGCGTATGTGGTGGACATTGTCTAGCTGACTCTTCTTCTTTTTGATTGTTTTGATGAACTTCTTTAATCAATTCCAAATATTTTTCATGTTAACCTAGGCATCGTTACAAAAGTTCAGATTTTACAAATTGTTTATGAAAACACAAGTGAATTTAATTATAGACAAATATTTGGTGTATATATAGGTCATGGTCGGTTATAACATAGGCCAATATTATTCCCAATTGTAATTCAAAAATCATAATTGGAGGAAAATATGTTAAAATATTGATTTAAAAAATTCAAGTTATACAACTTAAAGTCAAAATATATCGCAATAAACCTATATACAGCCTATATAATTGTCCAATTCCCAAAGAATGCGATTTTATCCAAACTTAACATATTGCTTTTTTAAATGCTAATATGTCAGCATATTCAACAGCCGGATTTTTTTTGGGATCATTACGAACTTTATAATGTTGTCCTTAAGAAAAATGGAAATAAATATATTAATTTTTTGATAAAAAAACTCGGCGTTAAGAACAAAATATTTGAAGATCGAAACATCCGCTTCGCGCTACAAAAATAACAGTTAAAGAAAAACGCGATTGAAGTTTGAACAAACCTGTACTTTAAAATAAGCCAATATACATATTTTGAAAATTGCTAATAGTTATAATTTTTACCTCATATATACTTATCACTGAAACCGATCCTATTATGCCTGACCCTCATGTTGGTGGTCCGGCATCATTTTGGTCTTTAGAGCCAAGATACAAAATGTGTGTCATTCCTTCAATTTAAAGTCTGTTTACAATGCATCAAAGTTAATTCATTTAAAGGATTCGACATGTTGCAGTACAGCAACATGCCGAAAATCTCAATCGGACTCCCCACTACGGGCCACAGATCCCATTTTTATACCCTCAGCCTTATGGCTAATGAGTTATAAATCCAAGATCAGGCGATTATAATGCCCGATTGGAACCAAATTTTGCACAACATATTACCTTTACCAAACCTAGATCAAGATTGAAGATGGGACCTATTGGCCCACTCCTTCTGGTACCTCCCCCACAAAATGGTCAAAATTGTGATAAAAATTAATTTCATAACAACATGCAAACTGACTATCCGATTTTAACGAAATTTTGTACAATCTATTATCTTTACCAAGCCTAGATTAAGTAGAAAGATGAGACCCATTGGTCCACTCCCATAGAGTGTCAACATTTTCAATATTTATAAATCTAATATCAGGAGAATGGAATGTCCGAATTGAACCAAACATTGCACAACCTATTACCTTTACCAAGTATAGATCAAGTTTGAAGATGGGACCCATTGGTTCACTCCTTATGGCACCTCCACCACAAATGGTCAAAATTTTCAATATCTATAAATCCACTATCAGATGAATGGAATGTCCGATTTGAACCAAGCTTTTCACAACTGTTGTCTTTACCAGGTCTAGATTAAGTCCGAAGATGGGAAACACTGCCACTCCTTCTTGTACCTCCCACACAAATGGTCTACATTTTTCATATTTATGAATCCAATATCAGGCGAATTGAATGTCCGATTTGAACCAAACTTTGCCCAGATCATGTTTGAATATAGAGCATTGGTCTACTCCCTCTGGTACTTCCCACACAAATGGTCAACATTCCATTTGCCTAATCATCAACATTCCATTCGCTAATATTGGATTTATAAATATCCCATATAAGGCGAATGGAATGCACGATTTGAACAAGATTTTGCACAAGCCTAGTTCAAGTCCGATCCGTCTGCCCTCTCCTATGCTAAATCCTACAAAAATGTTGAATGATGAAATATTAAAATTCAAAACACTTTTAAACTATTGGGCGAGGGTATATATCTGTCGGCAACACCGACTGACACGTTTTTACTTATTTTGGCCATAATTAGAGCAGTAGGTTCATGAAATAAAGAAATATCACATATAAAAGTTTTCCAAGAAAAACGTAAAAAATTATTAGGATGAATCGAATTATTAAAATTGTTTTGAACACGTTTTCTAGGGCTATGGTCTCAAATTACAAATGTGAAATCAGATTTATTATTAACTTTCTTGGAATTACCTGAAATGGACATTTTTAAAATTAACATGAAATTGGTCGAAAATATATATAGGAGCTATGCAAAAGCAATACCGACATCATAGCCTCAATGTTATACGTTGTACAAAATTTCGTGTCCATCTGACAAACATGAGGAGTTATTTGCACCATTTACCTGAAATCAGACGAACATATGCATGGGAGCTATATCTAAATCTGAACCAATTTCAACAACATTTGGCATACTATTTTCAGGACGTTGTGTTCTATTTCGTTTCGATCGGTCTAACTTTGGGATTTTTGTGCACCATTTACTTAAAATCTGACGAAAAAATATATGGGAGCTATATCCTTTCCACACGTTAGGTTATACTAGCTTCAGTACATTGTGCCAAGTTTTGTGCCAATCGGACTTTGGGTCTTTGGGGCACCCTTTACTTAAAATCGGATGAAACTATTTTTCTCAGTAGGGTTCGTCCTTGCGCCAAATAAATTATATGTGCCAAATTTCATCCAATTCGGATCATAAATGCGACCTGGGGGCTGATGCTGAGAGTCGTAACCGTTCAGAATTATGGACGTACGATCGAAATTTCGTACTTTTGGTATTCTGCCAGACGATATCGCTTAAAGTGTATCGGAATTTCGTATGTTATGAGGTGATATGCTATGAGGCGATAATGATAATGAAATTTCGTACTTTTGGTATTCTGCCAGACGATATCGCTTAAAGTGTATCGGGATTTCGTATGCTATGAGGCGATAATGCTTAACTGACACACGCAAGCCTTCGCTATTTTGCACGATAGCATATGAGTTATCGCAAACAATTTGGTACCAAAAAAGTATAGATAAAAAGGGGATTTCCCACTCAATGTATTGCCACCACTATCGCAGACACAAAATATGCAATGTAAGTGAACTTTTGAATTATTCTACAAATTGCATTTTGACTTACACCAGGGATGGTCCGTGTGACGAATTTTTAGGTTTTCGACTTCAAAAAGGTGTAAACGTCGAAAACGTCATATACTTGTATAAAATGTAATAAATGTAGTAAACGTCATTTATTTCAATATTATCAGCATATACATATATTTTCAAGAATACATATTATTTTTACATATATCTGACTATTCCTTACTAGAACTGATAAAAATTTCTACATTTTTTTGAGAATAAAATTTTGAAATTTTATTTTAATTTGAGTAAAGCATGCGTAATTTCCAAATTTATTAATGGAAATAGCTATTTCGTCAAAAACCTAATGGATTTGGGTAGGTTTCCGACGTTTCTGACGTATGTATTATACGTCGGAAAGGTATGTCATTTACGTCACTGTTTCTGATAGGCCATCTCTGACTTACACCAATAATAAAATCATTTCCAACATGGCGTTGGAAGCCCCCAGATGCCAGAAGAGACAAAGCTGCTGTCAGTTGTGTTTTTGGTTGTATACTTGTTGAAATTGCTCCGTTGAATTTAATTTCTTCAACAACATATCTGAAGGCTTCTTTTGAAGTCTGGAACTTTACTCTGAGTAAAGGGATCACATTTTTTTTATCGATCGTTCCCACGCCACTCATTCCCGCCCCTGCAGACCGAGGGGGCCACCTCCTCATGACGAGAGGAGCACGAACACCCCATAGTCCGGACTATGGAGGGATATGATGGTAGGAGAACTACCGGCTACAAACAATTTCAGCCGGTCATATATGTATTTACTACGAACAAGGACAAAACAACTACATACGAAGGATTGCATTTTTTATGGCATCTACAGAGTCGTAAAATGGTATACAATTATAAAGCTTATTATAAACCTCACATATAGCACGAAAGGGATCATTTAATTCATAATTAGATTTAGCTAAAGAAAGTTTAAGTGGAATATTCATATTTGTTTTCTTACATCCGTTAAACTACACTCTTCATCCGAAGAAGATGAAAAACAAAATATAATCGGATCCATCAAATTTTAAATTTTATTTACTTTTAAAAATTTTTAGTTCTTTGTAATATACACCAAGCATATGGTTTATATACGCTTTTATACAGTGTTGGTTTAAGGTATTTTGCTTTCATTTTACAACACTATAACAAAAGAACGATTCGGTACGTGTCGACTCACAGAATTACAAAATTGCGAACGATCGGAATTAATTGCGATACGTAATTTTTATGCTATCGACTCTCGGCATCAGCCCCCTGTACTTTGTATATATACAGACAGACAGAAATGTGATTCTATGCATATTTTCAAAAGGAATCATGTGTCCATCCCGTTTCCTTTAGCCTGTTAGAAGCATATATATAAAGACATAAT